TTCTCTAGTTGACTAGAAGCAAGGGGATGCACTCTCGCATTGTAAATCCGATATCAGGAACTGAAACGCGATTCAATCCTTCGATTTACAAAATCCGTTTCCATTCAGTTTCTTTTACAACAGTTTTGATGCTCCAAAAGTTTTAAAAACAAACGAGAGACCAGTGTCAAAGTCATTGCTAAAATTGCCGACCTTACAGCTCATGAACGTGCTTGGGCAAATGATGTTTGCTCAGAAGATGGCAAATATTGTTTGGTTATGAAGCGTCGGCAAAATCCCAATAAGTACTTTGACACCGGCTTATTGTTTGAGTCTAGAACTGCTGAAGCACTCTTCTAATTCACTTATTGAGTCGTTGAATTTGTTGATGGCACCACCGGAAACAATGCCTATAATTTATATCGTCAACTTTCAACGTGTTTCGCGACTGCTACTCTTCATCGTTGTGGAAGTAAGAATCAATACTTCGGCTGTGTATAGCGTTTAGTAAACTGGTCGTGAAAGCTGAATAAGATACAGTAGGCCATGACCGTCTTGCCCCTGCTGCCATACAAATTTATTTGCAAGGTTTTTGCGGTCATATGATTCATATCAGTTTTGTGCGTTATTAAACTCATTTCACGCTCACCACCGATGTTACGGTAACAACTGCTGACGCCGAGGCATGACTTTGAAAATTGTGATTAATGACGAACGAAAGAACGGATCAAAATTCACAGTCGACGCAGTTCTAAATATTTAAGAGTCTTGAAAAACATGCACGTTCAGCTGAAAGCGCATTGTGAAGTATGAACACGTTTTAAGTTCGAGTAATCAGTCAGGTGCAGTCGCTCCATCTATTTTTTATGCTGCAGGGAAAGAGACACTTTGTCAAAATGGATTGCAGCTCGAATGCACGAAGATGACTTAGACGTTAGGCCTGACCATCTTCTTCAGGTATTTCTTGCAATTCTTTCTAGGAAAGGGAAACTTAGAGAGATCTTGAGAGTAGGATACGTTCGAGACCACTGTCCATGTAAACTCGTGAGGATGAAAGAGTTAAATTTGTGCAGCGTAACGTTTTCCAATTGAATTTTGCGAATGACGACTCATGGATGGAAGGGGCGGAAGACTCAGACGACCAGGAAGTAGAGATAAACTGATATTTTTTTTGCGTTACATCACTTATATTGTTTGTATTGTCTGAGGTTGTGCCTTAAAGTTATTCAACCCTCGGGACAAATGGTCAGTTAATTGAAGAGCAAGAGAATCCAGATGAAACAGGATTGAGGCAATAAGCAGCGATGAAGAACGCATATTATTCATCACCCCGGAGGGTTCAGAGCAGAAACTGAGCACCACTATGGCGCTACTAGTACAGCATAATCATCTCTCTAAATGTACGACAGTGTTCCTAGTTCTTCTGAAGAAGTCGGTAGAGAAAAATTTGTTATGGAAGCAAAATACGTTAAGGTGGCAGATTAAAGTACAAGTAATGAATTTAACAGCAGTTGAAAATATTTCGTCTCAAGCCATGCCAGGCACTAAGCCGTAACGTTGGCCAAGAATTTCTGTGATCGGGTTTAGATAACCATTTACATAAGAAATAAAATGGGCAGCCATCATCATTCTCCAGAAAGACGAACAAATATAAGTTTGTGCATAGTGAACAAAGGAATGAACGAACGAACGAACGAAGGAATTGATGACTGAAAGGATGCGGGAAAAAATGAACAAATTAATCAAGCAATGAATTCAATAAATAAGTAAATAAATAAATAAATTAACAAGTTAATAAATATTTTACAGTGCGAATGGTATTGCCCTGCATGTGTCCTCAAATGCAATTAGTCACTGTGTCCTTGCGTGTCCTGTCGTTACTTACCTTACAGTTGTGCACCACGACTGTTAGAATGATTAATGTGCATTAACTTCGCTTGCGCCGTTTTCTGTAATGTTTTATTATTAAATTTTGTTTCCGTTTAGTCATTTGAGAGTTGAACATCGTACTTATCCATGCTATAAAGGTAGATTAGCCGATATTCTTGAAGAGCAGCAAAATTCCAGCGTCGATTTTAATTTTGGACACCAAGAATTCTAATTTATCAGGATTTCTATCATGCTGTTTGTCATAATATAGACGAATATACCTATTTTATAAACAAGCTATAAAATAGTGATAGAGCACATCGGTCATTGTCAAAATATCGGCATTCGTTCTTAACATAACATAATGTGATAAAGGTTTGAAGACGATAAGCACGTTATCTCTAATAGGTAAGATAATTTCATCATCCAAATAGATTATTCAGTTTCCGATGTATAATGACTGCTACTACTGCTATTAGCAATAACTTAGGATAGGAAGCTGAATCTGTGGGCAAGGTTGAAAATGGGTCATCCTTCCAACCAGTGTGTTTTGCGTGTTGTCTGGCGTTGACTGAACCACAGAACATGTCCTGGAGTGAAATATAGCGTGTTCCGACTACCAACCGCAGTGCCATTAATGTCCACTTATGTAAATCAGAATGGGCCTTCAGAGAAGCAGCGATGATTGGGAGTTACACAGTTAGTACTGTTTCTGTTACAGATCTACTTATGGGAAGAGTGGTTTAATTGCACTCTCGGACAGAGGCTCAAATCACTGGGGGGGGGAGGGAGCAAATGAGGACAAGAATGAATGGATGATTATGGCTGTCGATACATCGCTTAGTTAGAGAGTGTGTGAGCGCGAAACAGCTCCACTGAGAGCTTCTGTAAACAAGTCTTCAGCAAATGAATCCCTTCCATGTGAGCTTAAACGTCGGTGCTCGCGTTGGGACAGAAACCACTTTGAACGCGTTTATACGCTCATTTTTTCCTAGGGACGTTTCACTTCTATGAGATAATCTAGTTTATGTCCTCTTTTAAGTTGTGCATGCGAAAGTCATCCAGTTGATGCTTGAGGGCCATGGAATATGGAATTATTGCAACATTACGATATACTCTTTGAGGCCGGTTCAACAAAACCATAAATGCTTGCGCGGAACAATAAATCTGTAGAGATCACCAGACGATTATCAAGACTCCAATTAAAGAATCACGTAATAATTGCCGCTGTGAGTCCGCAGGCGAACAGTTTCTGCATCCCGGATCCAGATCATAGGCTATAGTCCTGTACGAAGTGCATGTTGAGGCAAAT